TTGGGCAACAACCCTTCAGCTGGTTTTCCTAGTAAGGGTTGTTGCCCAAAATGTTGTTTTCTTGCTCACTAATAAAATTATTTTAATTTGGCGATCTTTTCACCATTATTCTATTTTACATTTTGTAATTTCCTCGCCAACGTAACTACTTTATTATTAAAATAAAATATGATTCATAGTTCATATTGTAAGCAGAAAAACAATAGATTTACTTTTCGAAAACACCCAAAGGGATACACAGTTAACAAGCAAGTGAAACAGCAACAGACGAAAAGATCCAGCAACAATGATAAAGAAAAGAACAAATAAATATATTTTTTTACAAACTCAAAAATTGGACGACGAGAGTACAACAATAAGCACTTATAGCTATGGACCGTAAAAAGCTGAGGGAAGAATCAGGAAGTAAGTAAAATACTATAATACAAAACGTACGAGGTATGCACGTGTATGAATACGTATATATAAGAAGCCAACTACTTGATGTGTCACAGAAAGTTTACAGTACAGTTTATAACATCTACTGAATACAAATTGTTATTGTAGGATAAAAAATTGACATCTAGCGTTAAGTTCTAAAAACAATGATTTGTGATTTTAAATATCAGTTGGAGTCAAAATGACGCTACATTTGTATTTTTCTGTTAATCAGGTATATATATGCTATTTCTATCTATCTTTCTGCTAGTATTTCTATTTATTTTCCTCTAATGTTTTTTCTAATTGCAATGCATTCTTTGTTTTATTATTCTTTATGTTGCTTTGGTATCTCAGTGCCCCTTGATTGGAAGAAGAAGACGTGCAGGTACTTAAACTATTCAAATGCTAAACACTAAATTTTAAAATTCATTTATTATTATTATTATTATACGCCACATTATTAATGTAATGCGAACTTTTTTTCATAAATTGACTATTTTGAAAACAACATTGTTTAGTTTTGTACAGAGCTTGGAGGAGTTGGGAAAAGAACGAATTCAAATAATAATAAATATACATGTATAATAGGAGTAAACAGTCCAGAACATTTTTATTAATACTGTTAATAAAAAAATTGTTCTCCGAGTCTCAAACTTTAATAATAAATATTATGTAAAGGCAAATCGTCTGAGAAAGCACTTTATGACTAGTTTCACCGCCAGATGTCTGAAAAAGAAGATTTTATTCTTCCTCCCGCGAACTTCAGTATTTTTGCAGCCTTATGTGTTCAGTATTTTAAAACCAGTTTTTATATAATAGAAAGTAAAATATCTGCAGTCTTATCAGCTAGGAGTAATACGAAGAAATGACTTATTCAGGTGCTATAATGGGAATATAATACTTTATATTATTGATTAAATTATCCATTAGATGGCATACGTTTTCCTATAACATAAAATATTGGGTCTTGAGCGTAATTTAATCTTTCTAACAACCCCTATTCATCACACTGGTCGTAATAGACATAGATTGTGCTGTTTCTGGCATATACGTGGAGGTGTAATTTATTTTAAAATTCAATATCACACAGCATTTTTATTTCAACGTTCAAAGTATTAAAAATACTAAAGTTCTGAATCTAACAATACTGGTGAGTTCTGGTATTGTGCGAAAGGCCTCTTGGGTAGTGATTTGTGGAACACAAAATATAGATCTGAAATGCTCTATTTACGCGCCTCTGCTTTTGAATCCGAAATGGACAAATTAAGTCGAATGTGGAAAAAAAATCCATACAAATCTGAGACCCGTTGGTTTCTAAGCTTCGCCAACTTTCGGCGTTTATATCGTAACTTAAAAAGCTAGATACGGTAAACAAAGTTAAGTGAATAAGAAAAAGTATCCGTTAATTGAACAAAATTGTTAAGTAAAGAAAGATGTTTATGAGAAAGTATAAATCAGGTATATATGAAAGTGTAAAGGTGAGAAAAAGAAGTGCACAAAGAATCAGAAATTACTCGTTCTTATGAAGAAAAAATGTTCATTTGAACTAATTAGTAAGGGACGATGTGTTTGACAATGTACAACATACCACACTTTTTACAGATCACATGATATATCACGTTTTTAGAAACGCACGTTGTATTTGGTATTTTCTATTGGAGCCATATATGATGATGAGGTGTTAACATATTGAAGTTGAAATATTTCGTTCTGTGACAACAAGATGTACCACTAGGGATAGATTTCTGGTCGACCAAAATGTTTTTGATATTTTTTATCGTGCTTGTAGCAGACAAGTGGACATTCTTTAAAAAATTGGAAGTTGTTGAAGTTTTGTTTGATGATCTGGGCAACTTTCGTGGTATTAGAATGGTGAGTAATGATAAGCAGTATTTGAGAATTTGTAGACTTAGGTTTTAGGGTATATTCTTGTGTTATATAATTGGCGCTTTAGGCGGCTTTCTTTATAAATGACTTAGGGTAGGAGCGATTGATAAATAAGTCTTTCATTTCTTTAGATTTTGACTCGTAATCATTTTGTTTACTTTAAAGTCTACGCAGTCTTAAGAACTTAGAATATGTGACCGAAATGTATGGCGTGAATGGAAAATATTAGCAGAGATATGAATGGGAATCTATAGGGTTGTAATATACTGATGTAGACAAACGTTGGTCTTCACTAAACATGTGAATGTCTCGAAATGGGTAAGCACGGGATGGAAGAAGGAAACAAATTGTAAAAAGTTTTTAGTTCACACGTGTGCGTTAGCCGCACAAACAAAGTCGTCAACATAGCATTCGTAAAGATGGCGGTGTTCATCGACAGATGGAGAAAAGACGATTTTCTATACATTCCAACAAATAATGAAACGCAAGAATGGCCTTATCTGAATCGTTGAGAGTAGTTTTAAATGAAATTACTTAGTTATCAATAGTTTGGGTTCGCAGACTGAGTGTTACCATAATGCCCAGAAAAACGACCGATACATTTTGTTTATACTTGTTTCATTTGACGGTGTCTCCCGATAGGTCAGCGGTAAGTTTACAGACTTACAACTAACACTCTGGGGGGTTCGATTATTCACGGTGGACAGATCGCAAATAGTCCATCGTGTAGCTTTACGCTACAAAGACACATTTGACGCTAACACAATAATATTTGTGTGTAATAAAATTGTGCGCTCGTTTATATCACTATTTGATGAAACTGCATTTAACATGTATATATTAAAATGGTATAGGTGGTAAATAATTAAGATTATTATTTCTTGCCCTTCAATGTAGTCTAATTCCGATAACAGATTAGATAGATAAATGGGTTTTATACAAACTAATTGATTCTCTTTATCAGTTGGAGTTTTTCATATAGTCCTGCAGCTGTATAAAGAATTTCGTTAAGACTGATATTTTTTTTACGGGTAAAATTAAACTTTAAAACTTATGTTTCAAATCACTATATAATGCCATTTGTTGACCCCCGGTGGCACAGTGGTATGTCTGTGGACTTATTATTGCTAGAAACCGGGTTTCGATACTCGTGGCGGGCAGAGCACAGATAACCCTTTGTGCTTAATAACAAACAACATCGCCATAACAAAAAACATGCGTGAAGTCGTCATGAGAGTGTTTTCTTAACCTGGTAGTTTTATGCTTATATTAAATATACCATAAATATATCTATCACCTTCGGTTTTATATTTGCTTTACCCAATCAGGTTAGATTCTAGATAAATTCCAAAGTTGCTTGGGCGGTAAGGTTTGTTTGTAATTAAGCACAAAGCTACACAATGGGCTATCTGAGCTCTTCTCACCACGGGCATCGAAACCCGGATTCTAGCGTTGTAAAATCCACAGACATACCGCTATGCCACTGGGGGGTGGTAGGGAACTTGGTCTGTTAGTTCAGTGTCTCGTGTGCTGGTTTGTTTCTTACATTCTACGATGTGACTGAAAGTTTGTGTATTTTATTAATGTGTGTAATAAAATTTAATATTATCTTTTTTTTACTCCTTTATTTCATATATAATATAGAGGAAGACTCCCTAAAGACACCGTTTGTATAGTGAACAAAGCACCGAGTATTCTACATGTTACAGTCATCTAATACTCATCCATTATTGGCTAGTAATTCTTGTTTCATCCTGTACTTAAGTTTTATAAAGGAACACCATATTTCTGTAAAAAAAGCTAACTTCGAAAGTTAACGATAACGTCGTTTACACTAGAATTACGATTTTGTTTGTAATTACTATTAGCTATTACGACCAAGCAATGACACTGTGCACTGCCCAGAAACACGCAGTGGATTTAGGTTTAAACTGACAATAGTGATAAAGTAGTTGTAGAGTTAACTCGACTGAAACAAGAAGAAAGATGAACAATTTTAGTGGGTTGGTCACTTTCTGGTTTGGTACCTTAAAGATGATTTCTTGTCTTGTTGAGTAGAGAAACAAATGAAAGTGAGTTGCAATCATCTTTTGAGGTAAAACTCTCTTTATTGTTGATTTTGTAGCGTGCATATTTGTATTATGCTACCTTAGCCATCCCTACATGTATGGTAGACCGACTCTCTATTTTATATTATTACTAATTTTTCACTCATCGAGTTAAATAAATTTAGGTTTCAGAAGCTTGAAAGCTGAATCTCCCAGTGTCAAATAAAGTTAATGTTTATCAGAGTGTAATCTGTTGAATCTAGAATCGGTATATGAACACTGGTGGAGTTGAAAGAAGACGTGAGGGTGGCTGGCTCAGCGTATCAACTGCATCACAGGACTGTAATTTTTGTAACAAGTAAAAAAATGATATAAATGGTATATTTTCTAGCATAGAGGTGACCTCACAGACTTAATTTGGGTGATTTCAGATTGGTTAGCCTACATGCAATCCATTTTGTGTTACTTAGAATCTTAATAAATTAAGAATGACTGAAGACCCAGTTTGTAATTACTTAAAATGTTTACTCTCTACAACTGAAGATTGGCTAGCTAGGTCCACGAAAAATTCTGAACAAGAAATATCATTTTGAATGGGGAAAAAAATCCGATTTTGATCACAAAGGGTCAAAATATAATAATAAACCTTAAAAGCACTAATTTCCACAAATTACAATTTACTGGGTCTATATACGGAATTTGATATACATATGTAATAATATGCCTGGAGACATATTTCAGAATAAAAATCACATTTCAGGGAATAAGAAGAAAATAAATTGAAAAAAAAAACTGGTGTAATGTTTGTTTCAGGAAATTAACTTGGTCCACATATAAAGAAAAATGTATGAAATAAGTAATTACAGAAATTTATACTCAAGATGCATCACAGGTAAAATAATTTTCAAAAACTCTAATTTTAAAACGGATGATTGGTTCTGTTTACATAAACAGACATCACACTTATTTATATCTAAATAGAAATAGAGTGTGATGACAGTGTTTGTCCATCACAAGAAAAAAATATATTTTACATTTTTAATGGTTTAGGTTAAAACAAAGATCAGTATGAAATATACAGGGGAATAGCCAACACTACAGTATATTTGATCTTTTCCCAAACAAACACGGACCTTTTCTTCTACACAATGAATTTAAGGATTTACATGAAAGTCAAGTGATATATATTTTTTTTAAATCAGAATATAGTAGACATTTAAACTTTTTAGAATATTAGGGTGGTCATTGAACCCACCCCTGGCTATACCCTGGATGTGAACATTAAAAATGTATTAAGAATATGTACTATATTATATATGATATCAAAAAATGAAGCCTGGACTAAAATAACTTAAAAATTTAAATAGTGTAAAAAAATATAAATGGAACTAACAGAGTTTTGGTAGCACTGTCACTAAGTTATAAGTATAAACAACTTAATAAAAAGCTTTTTTTTATTACCATTTTGAACGTCATTTTTGAACATAGAAAAGAAATACAGTGAGAAAAACATATGCTTGTTAGGTAACCAGCTGCACAAATATTCTGTTAAAGATATCCATGGATTTTTTTTTTTTTATTTCGGACATGATAGGTCAGACAATAACATTTCACATTGATTCTGCTTGTATTTCACAATTTAAAAATTCCTTATTAGAAGAAAAAAGAAATTTTGCAAAATTACAAGTTTGAAGGACATCTTCACAATGCAATAACAACAACAACAATCACATTTAGGTTTTAACACATAAGACTTCTATTACAAATCTGTATGTCAAAACTCTAAGCATACAAGCACCAGGCACTAGTTTTTATTTCATGACAACCACAATTTTTTTGTTGATATTTGTTTCAATAAATATTTCAAACTAATGTAAATAAATGCATGAAAAAAAGTTTTATAGCAATGAACGAAAAAAACAATTAATAGCCCCAACCTTGTAGTTTGTTATGAACATATCAACTGCACAACTGTATAAATGAAAAATATACTTTCAAACCCCAATATAAAAATTATTACTTAATTTAAAAAAATGGTGAAATTAATTACGTTCCTTGGGCTATGATGTTGAATAATCATGATACAATGTTTCATTTTAAAATTGACATAATTTTTCTTAAATTGCAATCAACAGCTTTTAAGATAATCTCTTCAAACATTCAAGTTCTGGTTTGTAAATCACATTTTCATGAACACAAAGTTATCTTTATCTCACTGTAATTAAAAAAAAAAGACTTTCACAGCACTTTAAATAAAAGTCAATGGATATCACTTTTTTTATATTGTACATGTTATCACATTTGATTGTAGGACAACAAGTGAAAAGGACCTAGGTAACAAGTACAAAGTACTTTGTATGTATATATATCTATTATATCTAATGGCTATAATGCTGTATATATAACAAGCTTTTCACCATGTTCTTGAGATGATTCACGAACATTATAATGTTCTGATAGCTCTTATATACAAGAGTACACTAAGCTTCATATATTCAACTCAGTTGGAGAATATACTTTCAAAACTTAAAAATAAGAACATCTACATAACATCTTCTGGAATGGCTGAGATAAAAATTTAATTTTGGAGATTACTATTATATCTAATCTATCATAACATCAACTATCAAATACTATTACCTGATACTCATAATTTTGTCTTACATTTTCTTCACTTGTATACCAAATAAAAGTTTAAAAGAAATAGGTTTACTTTCTGGAATGACAACTTAATGTGACCATAGTATGATTTTGAAACATAATTTTCTAAATAAAAAGAATTTATTTGATTTTAATTTTGTGTAGTTTGAGCTTAAAACCTAGCAGTTCTGTCAGCACTGCAGAAAATGCTGATAAGATTACAACCTTCGTAATGTTGTACAAGTAGGGATTGGCACAAAGTCCAGAAATCTTGAAGGGACTCTCCAGTTCCTAAGAGGGTAACAGAAAAACTTGCTAGTTAGAAAATATTATCCTATCTAAAATGCCAAACTATGGCAGTAGGGGTATGCACAAATCGAAAAACATTTCTTTAAACAAACAAGATTTCATAATTAGGACAGATATCATTTTCATTAAGTTACTAAACACCTTATAATTACTGTATATTCTAAAGTGATAGTGCCACTTAAAAGGTTGGATGTATCTGCATAGCAATTTTAACCAAAATTACCTAGTCAAGAAAATGATCCTAATATCAAGTGTAACTTTCTTGTATTTATATATTAATACTGAAATCATTCAAAATTTAAATTACTATATAATTTTGGTGGATAAAACCGGGCAAGATACAGTATACAGGCCTACCAGCAGGTTTGCAACAGCCACTTAACTCTTTCAGCACGGGCTCGGTCCCTGGAACTGACCTTGTAACCATTTTGTGCTTGTTATAGTTTTCATGATATAACTTTTAAATTAGTAACCATATGTTAACGAAATTTGGCAGTCTGTTTGTTTTTAAATTTCGCTCAAAGCTACACGAGGGCTATCTGCACTAGCCGTCCCTAATTTAGCAGTGTAAGACTAGAGGAAAGGCAGCTAGTCATCACCACCCACCGCCAACTCTTGGGCTACTCTTATAACAACGAAGTGGGATTGACCATCACATTATAACGCACCCACGGCTGAAAGGGCGAGCATGTTTGGTGGGATGGGGATTCTAACCCGTGACCCTCAGATTGCGAGTCGAGCTCCCTAACCACCTGGCCATGCTGGGCCACGAAATTTGGCAGATTATCAGTAAACATTACAATGCTTTCATATGCAAAACATCAAGTTTTTTTAAATTAAGTCTTACGGTTTATAAAGCAATGTTTTCCTCATATCTATTTTTTCTTTTTGTATGTTGCCTATCTATCATGCAAAGTAATATTCATTTTAAGATTAAAAAATTTTATGCATCAGAAAATTTTGAAATTTCACATGTGAAATCTTTATAATGCATGTGAAAT